ACCTCCATGCGTGTCTTTCTTCCACTCCTTGGTCATTTTATTGCATGTTGTTCAAATCCACTTTGCTTCTCAGTGGCTCGTCAGCATCCAATCTCACGATCGCTGAGAGCGCTGGCTGCAAAACTCCCCTCGTCCCATTTAATGATTTCACACAGCATGCTGCCCTTTTCAGGAAAATGCAGACGAGCAGAAACCCTTCAAATTTGTTCCGAAGACTTCGAATGCAAACAGTTCATCTATTAGTTTTATGCTTTTCTTTAATATTTTGTCCCCCCTGGTGGTCATTCTCTGGTTGTTTGAAGCTTCCTGCCTAGATGTTGTCTCAAAATAGGTGATCACAGAAAACTTAATTTAAAACCAAAGTGTCTTTGAGTGCCTGCTGGCTTGTTTTGTACGCTCACCCGAATTTAGGAATATTTGCTAAAGTACAGCTTAAAAAAATCAAAACCATTTTAATTTTAAGGGAGGCTTTAATATAAGCTTGTCAAACTAGCTGGTTCTTGTTTACAGACAGAAAACATTTATCCAAGCCTTGTCTCTGTTAAACGTATCTCTGCTAAGCTTTGTTGGTTTCCGAACGACATGATTTGTCTTGCAGTTTCTACACCTCAGTGACGGCTCTGTGGGTCTGTTTGTTTCACATTTTGACAGCAGCGTCACACAAAATAAACGCAAAGCGTGAATGACGTGCGAGAATACATCAGTCCAAATGAGTGTTTCCCCATTTGGCACCAATCTTCTTTCACGGTTCAAGAGCGACACCCGACAGGTCAAAGATTAAAGACCCTCCCCTCTATAAAACACACTTCTCACTGACTACCTATTTAACTTGCTGTGGAGAGCTTGTATTTTAAAAGCAGAAGCAATGAGAAGCATAAAAACCATGTATATGTTTAAAAATTTCACCTTCTTCTTCCAGACATGTCATTAATCAGATGTAATCTGCATGGCAGCGCACCAGCTGTTGCATTATACATTAAAGCTGGAGCATCCCTGAAGCTAAAGCTGGAAGTGGAAGAGCATCCACAGAGGTGGGTAGTTCAAGTTTAAGTCTTTCCCCATATAAGTAAACGAACAAGGCATTACCTTAAAAATACACCTCAGACATTTTTATTTTATTTTGTTGATTAACATATTTCTTACTTTGATGCAATATGTTCATTATTCTAATTTGTCTATTTAGTTATTTCACGCTTAAAAGAAAAATCACCTAGACTATGTGTGGGATCGTATGTGGGACTTGCTAGACTCTGGTCCCATAAACGCAACATGCTAGCTCCTATAAGAGGAGTCCTGCTGACTTCAACATCCAACAACAAGAAAATGGACGTTTGGTCTAATTTTATAATATGTGATCACACCTGATTTAATCCCATGGTGTTTTTCTGTAAAATTCAAAGTTATTGGAGAGCTTGCATAAAAGCAGATGCTTAATTCAACATCTGCTCACTTGTTCAGAATTTGACTGATGTCAGCGTTTACATTTACTTATCATCTGAGCCAAACAAAGACCAGGACACAGTACGTAAAAGTATTCGAGCAGCGTTAAAATCAGTGATATGTTGTTTTCTTGTCAGCTCCCACCCACCAGTTTGATTTTTTTTTTCCTCTTATGTCAAAACAACGTGTTGGAAAATGAGGAAACAATGACTCTAGAGGGACTTTCCCAGTTTCGTGTGTGGCTTCTCCTCCCTGAAGAAGCATTGACTGAATGGTGTTCACAGGTTAGGGAACAAAATGTCCTGCTTTTGTTGGTCAAATTGGGCTATAACTGCATTGCATATTTTTTGGTCTGTTTTGGGGTCTGTTTTTGTAGCCCCTAAAGCGCTTGTTGTCTTGTGAGTATGTTTATGAGTGTTAATTAGGCAGTTGGTGTGTGTGTTATTGGCTATAGCTGATAAGCTAACCTACAGGTTAACTACTTTTACTGGGGGGTTTTACCATGCAGTTAAGGTGTCTGTGTGCATTTGTATGTATGTCTGGAGCCAAGGAAAAGTTCCCCAGAGGCATCAGACTCCTCATTAACCTTCAATTCATCTTTATATTCCTCATTTTCTTCTCTCTTTTCCTCAATCCAGCATCCCTTCAGCCCTCCTCCTCGTCTTCCTCTCCAGGCGCCAACATTCACATCAAAGATTTTTCTTTGCAGGAATTTATTCATTACATTTTGTAATCTTTGCACTCAAGCACATCTCTCTTTGAAGAGAGACTAATTTGATGAGGGTATTATCATTATTTTATAGTTTCTGTCATCTGCTTTAACTCATTTCTTAAATGAAGGTGATTTTTTTTTTTTTAAAGAATTGGATAAAAGCAATGTTTTTTTTTGTCCTTAACACAGTAATTACATTAGAGTCTTCTGTTGGATGAAAGCATACATTTGATAAATATGTAACATTTTTATGTCCACTAAATTAAAAAAAGACAAGTTTTATTCACAGTTGTGCAATCAGGTTTGAAATCATGTACATGTACAGTAAATACTGTAATTATCGCCTTTTCATGAGAGGCAGGCAACACTCTAACTGCCTCTCTGTGTGCATTTGTTTGACTGTTAGCAAAATATCTTTTAAACCACTGAACAAAATGAAATTCTGAGTAATTGTTGGTGTAGTCCTACCACTAATTAACATTTGGGGTAAAGCTGATTCAAGATGGCTGCCACAGCTAATCAACCTTAGCAAATTCAAAAAAATAAAACCTACATTTAACTGTAAAAATATATTTTTGATGTCCATTCAAAGGTGCTTGATCTTTTGAGGGGAGTGCATTCACTGTGCGCCAGCTATGTTGATGGTAGATTTTCCTCTTGAGCAGCTGGTGCAGAAGTTTAATATCAACAAGTCACAGTTTTTCAGATATCTGCAGCTGAGACATTTTGTGAGGTCTAACTCTGATTGTTTTCCTTTGGACCCCTCTAAACATTTTGTGGCTAAGATTCTGGAGTGCAGGTCTGATACTAGAGTCAGCCTCCTCACCATCACAGACAAGATGTAGGAAGAGGGCCACCTGCATCGTGAAGGACCCCACTCACCCAGCACACACACTTTTTGCCCCGCTCCCCTCAGGCAGGAGGTTGAGGAGCATTAAGTGCAGAACCACTAGGCTGAGGAACAACTTCTACCCTGAAGCTTTACGAGTCATGAATTCCTAATCAGGATTATCACTGTGGAAATTACTATTAAAAAAATCACTATGAAAAAAAATCACTGTAATGCCACTTGATTGTTGATATGTGCTGCTGACCATCCATGATGCTGATCTCATGCTTCTGATTTATTTCATGTTGCTGTGTTCATTCGTCCTCATCTGCTCACACAGACTCATGTTCGTGCTGCTGTTGTTTTAGTGCATTGTTTTGTACTATTAGTGCTTGGTACATATGTGTCAAACTCAAGGCCCGGGGGCCAAATGTGGCCCTCCTTAACATCTTATCTGGCCCCCAAGATATTATTTTAAATGTAAAATACTTTTATCACTTTAATTTTTCCAGTAATCTTTGATTATTATGTCAAAAATGCAACAGAAAATGTCAAATGAGACCAATCAAACTCTTGCTGAGGAACCTAAAACCAAGATAAGATGTTGGGTATCTGACTTTGGTTAACATAGATTCTGAAACCGGCCCTTAGTTTGAAAAAAGTTTTAATTTTGGCCCCTTTTGTTAGTGAGTTTGACACCCTTGATTTAGTATATTCCTAGTTTAACACATTTCTTAGTTCATATCTTAGATCTTATTACTGTTTTTCTTTTTACAATTTGTATTTTTGTTGGATGTAACAGGGACCCTGTGTACATAGTTTCTTTCCACCTCATATACCACGTGTGATGTGAATGACAATGAAGACACCTTGACCTTTACACTAAGGGGACCCTCAGCAAAATCTATGCACTGCTCAGTTCATCCCATGAGACCAGTTTGGAATCCCTTAAACTGAAATGGGAAACGGACTTGGAGGAACCCATATCATAGTCTAGCTTTGTTGAAATCAGGTCTCTTGTAAATGAGTCCTCGAGGCTCAATGGGATTTACTTGTCTAAATAAAGGTTGAATGAATAGTCTCGCAAAAGATTGTCACAAACATTTACTCATCCTCAATCTGTCTGAGACATGCTGTAATTCAATTCAAGGTGGTCACCGGCTGCACTGGTCCAAAGACAAGATGTCCAAGATCAAAGCCAACCTGGACCCTACATGTAATCAGTGTAAAGAAACTCCAGCTACACTCTTGCATACATTCTGGACCAGTCCCAAACTGAAAACCTTTTAGCAATCTATTTTTCATACATTTTCTGTGATATGTGGCAAAACTATACACCCATCACCATTAATCTCACTGTTTGGGGTGGTCCCTGTGGATACATCCTTCAGCAAGTACGAGAAGGATGTAATCACTTTTGGCTCTTTTCTGGCCAGGAGACTTGTCTGGTGCAGTTGGAAGGACCCACACCCTCCAGCATATGTTCACTGGATAAGAAAAGTGATGTATCATATTCATTTGGAAAAAAAATCAGATATACCCCTGAAGAATTCTGTTAAAAGATGTTGGGACATGTGGCGGCCTTTTGTGTTGTATGTGGAAAACTCGTCAATTCCTGTTTAGTTTGTGTGTGTGTGACTGATCCGGTGTGGGAGGTTTTTTTATTATTTTTTTTGTTCTTTGTGTTCTCATTTTTGTTTGTATGTTTAAAATCCAAAAAAATAAAAATAAATGAAAAGATTTTGATTAAAAAAAAAAGGTGCTTGATCTTGACTTTGTGATAATTCGTTATAAAGATGTGAAGCTCACTTTAACAAGCTAGACGATTCTGTTTAGATTTGCAAACTCATTAGAAAGCTCCGGCTCCAAGTAGTTCTTTAAGTTACACAAACATCAGGTACTTGTAGCTACAGATCACTCTTCCGTGTAAATAAGGTCAACAGCGGTGGCTCCTTGTTACTGATTAGTTAATTAATTAGATTAATTAAAGTCTGCTTGTGACTTTGACAAACTGCCGCTTTGTCCAGTCACCTGCTAAGTTTGTTTTTCTTTTCTCGTGCCTGTGCTTTTCCAGATGACTTCCCACCTGGTTGGAAACAAGCCATCCACCATGTCAAGTTAATGCGAAGAGGGATTCATGAAGGCTCGATACAAAACCAACCACGGTGAGACTGCATTTTTATTTAGCCTTATACATTTTGGTGACACTGGCCACGTCTGGGACCCAGTTAATGAGTTTTGAAGCATTTTGTCGACTTGCAAAGAAGCTTTAAATGTCCCATGAAACTGATGTGTCTGCTGTGTGAAAGTTTGTTACAAACTGAAAAAGTGAAGACAAAAATAATTGATTAAAATTCAGCTTTAGGTGGATAAATAGAAAGAACTGTCACAACAGAATTCCTCAAGGGGACAATATTTCTGCCTTTTATCAATCTTTCTGACATTTTGCTTCATATATCTTCCCTCCCCCTTTCTCTGCCTCTCTTTCTCGATCCTTCCCAGTCACTGTCAGAGGGGAATGAAGACCATCTGCAGCCCTCCTGCCCTCCTGACATCTGGAGATGGGCTGAGAAAAAACAGAAACACACAGTCTCTTTACGGTGAAGTGTTACAGAGGAAGAGGAAAAAGCTATAAGGGGGCAGCAGGAGGAGAAAAAAATGAAGACTGGAAAAAAGTTTGGAGACTTGCTACTGTTGGATTGCCTTTTCTTAGAATTTACTTCCCTCTCAGGTAGATAATTATGTTACTAAGCCAGCGCAGAGGAAGCTATTTTAATAAAGAACCTAGGGTCTATCTCCTCAGGATGTCACTTATAAAACTACCTATGTTCCTGTCTATTATTTATTTATCTTTTTATAATTTTATCTGCTGGTTTTAGGGCAAAAAAGAAAATATAAGGGAAAATATTAAATTAAAGCCATCAGATAGAGTAGAATCAAGCAAAGCAATAACAAAAAGAGACTGACTTTCCTTTTTGGTTTTATGTGTCTGGTTTGAATGTCCGCCCTGAAACCTGAAGTGTTAGACTTCAAAATGTTTCAAAGACCTTTCTGAAAGCTCAGTGACCTGCAGCACAAGGCCCTTTTTTAAAACATTACAAAAGGCTTTGAGTCATTTTTTCATTGAGCATCTTCAGATTGCAGGGGAGCAAACTGATTTTCATCACTGTATCTTGCCAACAAATGTATCAGCCCTGTCCTTTTTTCTGTGAAGCCTTATCAGTTAGAGCTCATGTCCTGTTTAATACATTTAAAACTGTATATTCACATGCTGGTCTCGGAATCCCTCCTGGTCTGGAGAATTTTATTTCCATTCATCACAGCTGCTTTGCTGACTACCTTTTACAGCAGTTTTTTATTTATCTAGTATGTGCCAGAAAAGACGAGTCTAGTTCTTTGACTACTGTTGTGGACTTATAGGTTCAAACTGATGATTTTTCTTAGACTTTGAGACAAAAATACGTTTTTTTTTTTTTTATGTGTGTGTTATGGTTTAAGCCATAACTTTAAGCAGTGTTTTATAGTTTAATAGTTATTTTATTAGCCATTAATGATTCATCTTGTGTACATTTGAGTTGAAACTGCTATAAAATATTTGTGGTTCGGAAAGATTGAATTAAAACTGAAATGGCTGCACATTCCTTCGTGATACACTTTCAAACATACAATGTGAAGCTGCACGTCTCTATTTTGGTTGTTTAATAAGCATTACTGAACAGAGTAGACTGTTGTAAACCAATTATTTAATTAAAAAAACAACATTTTCGGTGCAAAGGAAGACCAATTGAAAATGTGATCTTAAAAACACATTAAAATCAACTAATGTTTGGGTAAGAGTGGGGTTTACGATGTTTGTTAACCAATTTATTTTCTGCTCAAGGCGTGCATTTGATTTATTACTGGAGTGGGCTGCTCCAATTATCAAAAAATATAATCTGCACATAACTATTAGCACATTTATATGCAGAATTTACTCATTTCTGCAGTGAGGTGCAGCACAATTATCTACAGGTTTGTACTGGTGTGTCTGTTCTTGCTGCCATTAGACCACTAAGCAGTTGGTAATAGGATGTGTTAATTTTTTGTCATATTTTAATAGCGGTGAATCCAAATGAGTTTATTTGGGTTATCTTGCTTTATGAAAACTGTATACACTTAACTGAAATGGCTGTCATTAAGAGTGTCAGAAAGAATAACAAAATTGAGTTTTGAAGTAGCTTAGTGTGTGTTTTGTATTAGAATTAGAAAAATTAGAAAAAATTAGAGTTTATTAATTTTGTTCTGTTACTTGAAAATTATTATGATTGAAATAATTGTTTGAAAAAAGGGGCAGATATAAGATTTTTTTCTTCTTTCTGCTGCCTTTCATTTTAAATCTTTTGTATCTTTCTTTATATTGTTATGGAATTGTTTTGTACCTTTTTAAAATGAATACACTTTATACCAAGTTTATACTTTATACCAAGTTTTGAAGTGGCTGGCGAAGTAAAAATGCAAAAATGAGAAAACTGACTACACTTAACTTATAATCCATCCATCCATCCATCCATCCATCTTTCCATCCATTATGTTTACCCACTTCTTCCTTTTCGGTTCACGTGGATCAATGGTGCTCATTTCCAGCAGCCACTATGTGAGAGGTGGAGGACACCCTGGACAGGTCTCCAGTCCATCACAGGGACACATAGAGACAAATGAGACAAACAACAATTCACTCTCTCACTCACGCCTAGGGACAATTAGAGTCACCAATCAGCCTAACATGCATGTTTTTGGTCTGTTGGAGGAAACTAGTATCCGGAGAAAACCCACGCATGCACGGAGAGAACATGCAAACTCCACCCAGAAAGATCCCTGGCCAGGATTCTATCCGGTGACCTTCTTGCTGAGAGTCAGCAGCTCTACCAACTGATCCACCATGCCGCCACAATTATAATAATTGGTGGAAATATTTCATATAACTTAAGTGAAACTACTAATATAAAAAAATAATAATTGACCATCTTAGAAGAGGTCATTCTGCATGAAAGATGGTAGAGTTAAATTGTACATGAACAGCATGTTGTTGGTAAAGTATTAAAGCAGGGTTTATTTATTTATTGGTTATTTATATCACTAGATTTGTATTATTGGTTACTTTATACAGCATCATGCTGTTGTGTCCCCTGCTGGAGTTGAAGACACAAACATATAGTTACCAGAAAAACACCTGAAAGGATTAGGTAATCATTAGAAACTAAAGAGGAAAAACAAATTCCTAAAAATCAGTGCTCTTTGATGCCTCATGGCATTTTGATTATTTTTTCATTTATTTAATTTAATTTCTACCTACAATTCTATCATGTTAATTTAGAATCAAAGAGTCAAATTTGGACTTAACCTCTCTGCTTGTTGCACAAAACCAAAGCTACACACCAAACTGTTTCATATTTACAGCATTTCAAAAACCCATCCAACGTTTCGCTTTGGAATTGAAACCATTACTTCTCCATATAGAAGAGGTTTAAATTAGGAAAAAATGGAAACACTGACTTAAATTTACAAGTACCTCAGAAGTGATTTTAGTAAAATATGGTAATTTAGCCAAATGTGGTGGAATAAGCTTGATCCGAAGTGACTCCAGCTCACTGCTTGTCCAACTTAAAGTATTTGTTGGTAACATCTTGGTGTCAGATACCACAGGAGTGTCTCGTAAAGACCAATATTCTGTTTATCAGAGAGCTAAGAAGGACATATAGCTGGAGCCATGCTTTGACTCATTTGTAACTACTATTAAAAATAGACATTACACAAATGGTAAATAAATGCCAAGAAATGTTCAAAGCAACAATATCTTCCTCCCTGTATGAGTCACTTTCTAGCCTTGTATGTGTCCCAAGTGTAGCTCCTGCTAGAATGATCGATGGCCGACTTAATGTCTGAACTAATTAGGAACACAAGCTCTCAAAGTAAATGAAGGATAGTATTTCCACCAGAGTGAGTTTAATCAGCTTCCTTCATCTCAGTCATGCTTCAAGTTAATTCAAAGGACAAACTCTTGTAGGAGATGAAGGACCATATTTCTACTAAAACTAAATTAAGCTGGTTTCTTTTTCCTTAAAACCACCCGAGTGGAGGTTCAAATGAGGCAAACGTCACAAACTCGACAAGTGTGTGAGAGAGGGAAGGTCAAATTACCCGAAAGGTTTTAGGTTAGACAGTTAGGCATAAACTGTTAGAAATGCCATTCATCCATCCATGCATGCATCTCTGTGTTGACCCTCTGAAGAACAGGTATTCCTGTGTCTTGGCCAGCTGGAACAGGCTTTGTCTCCTCACTGATCCGAAAAGAAAAACGTGAACACTAAGAATGGATGGGTGAATATACAGGTGCTGGTCATAAAATCAGAATATCATGAAAAAAAAAGTTGATTTATTTCAGTAATTCCATTCGAAAAGTGAAACTTGTATATTATATTAATCTACACACAGACTGATATAGTTCAAATATTTATTATATTTAATGTTTATGATTCAGTGGTTAATTTGAGCTGGATCCTGCAACTCTCTCATTTTGACCCGTTCTGTTCCTGCAACTCTTTGCTCGGATCCGGCAGCTCCACCCCTAATAGACTTTAGACTTTTAGGGGGGTTTACTTTGATTTTTTATCAAAAATACGAGAGGCGACGTTGTCCTAAGTCCGGTGGACCCAGTCTAAGGAGTGGATGTTCCAGCCGCAGCACGCATGGCGCACAATTACACGCTGCTTCGAGGAACAGGAGAGGAGCAGGGGAGTGAGGAAGGAGGGACAGATAGTCTTATGCACAGAGCTTCTGCGCAGAGTCCTTCTCTCCTCCTCCTCCTCTCCAAATATTGTCTCAAGTCAGTGGGACCACGCACTGAAAAACACCCCCTCTCCCCTCCTTTCAGACCCCCGAAACAGAAACGATCGTTTATTCAACAGAATAAATAAATGCCTGTGGACAGTGCACGTTACGTACAGAAAAGTCTCCAGACAGCTCTTGCGCGCACACAACATCAGCATGTGTCTGAACTCCTGCTACATTTCAGATGTAATAAATAAAAAAATCTTACTTTAAAAAAATAAAAATAAAAAATACAAAGAGAGAAATGTTTGATGTGTTATTCACATTATACGTCACATTTCAAAACAACGGCGCTAATTTGTCCAAATAACAACAGCATCAAAATGTCAAAAAGACAGTCCAATTTACTTTAATTAAGGATGGATGGATTGACTGTCCTTAGTTGGACAACAGAAAATTGAAGCCGTCAGGTGCTTCAAACGGTGCCATGAGACTGGAGCAAGAGCGGAGAAGAGTTCAGCTCAGAACCATGAAGTGAGGGGAGGGAGGAGGGGGGTTTAGGACACCTGACAGAATCGGAGCTGCTCATTCGCACACAATCTGTTCCTCTACAAAATAGTAATTTTATTAAGTGTTTACAAATATAGGTAAATGTTGATGTATAACAACCCGCTAAATTACACCAGAATGGAAGAATTGGCATCTCTGTTTTTCAAACTTTTCTGTGAGAGGACACACGGAAATAAATATATGTGTGTTATGA